TTTTTTTCAGTGTTAAAAGATAAATGACTAATACTATATATTTTACAATAACGTATATCATATTACTATGAAAATGAACTACCTTCACACTAAAGATCAAATACAAAATTTAAGTAATACAAAAGAACTTCAAAAGTGAGAAAAATCTCAAATAAAGCAATATAAAATAAAATCTGAACACAAGTGCGAGTAATTGAAACAGTCACTAGTGAGGTTTCAAATCTTGTCAACTCCCTTTCTCATCCCAAAAGATTAGAAAATATATAGTTTGTACAAAAAAGAAACGAAAGAAAAAGAAAAAAAACAAAAACAAAAACAAAGTATGGTTAAACTAACATATGGGAAGGGATTATGTTATTCTTCAATGCAATTGTTTTGGACAAGAACAAGGAACAGATTATGACTGCAAATATTCACTGGATCAAGCATGACATAGTTTATGGTCTCAGGACCAAGTTGGACCAAGATGGATTATTAGGTCAGTGCCTATACAGTTAAAGCTCCTACCAAACCTTAGCCTTACAGCAACAATGCTGCAAATATTCAAATCATACCATTTTGTCTCATAAACTTTCACTCCAATATTTCCAAACTTAAGAACAGGTGATCTAGTCCTAATCATTTACATTCATAATCATTTACATTGTTCGTTTTTAGTGCTAAAGATTCACAACACATGAGCCTTAGACAAGTAATCATTAACAGGAAAATACTTATATTTAACATTAGAAAATTCTTACATGTCTAATTTCAGCTTCATTATGGACCCATGCTTGCCTTTTCTGACTAAAGTGTGTCTTGTGATAGAAATCAACAAGTCCAAGCTCCTTTCCATCCTTGTCTCGCTGTCAAAACCTTTATAGTTAGTATCCTATGGAGTACATACATCACCAAATAAAAGAAATAAAAAAAGTACCATGTAGACCCTATGATTTAAAGGTCAGTTGTTTACCTCATCGTATTGCACCTTTCTAAATGCCTTTGAGCCAGCTGTATGGAGGACTTTAAGCTCAAACCGATTTTCCTTGTTTTTCTGACATTTCTCCTGCATGAAGTGTAAAAATATATTCAAAAGAAATCAAGTCCATGTGCCCAAATGCTTAGTAATAGCAGCAGCTATATGCATAGCAGCAGCCTCCGCCACAGCAGCAGCTGTAGCATCATCAGTAGCCCAAGTACAAGTAGCCTACACGAGCTGCAGCCTCACCACAAGTGTGTGCAAGTGCATTACAAGTGTGTTCAACAATTACCTGGTACGTCTTATCATCCCATAATTGCACACAGGTATTGCCACACCTCTTTTTCGATATCTTCATGTGGGTTTGCAAGGGCTGATTCCATCGTAGGGAAACTTCTAAAATGTTGGCGTAGATTAAAGCGGTAGGTCTTGTACCGGAGTTTCATCATTCCAAGGATAGAAGCAATAGCATAAGGTTCATTACTAAAAATGAAACCTTCATGCCATACCAATAAAATTAAACACTTCAAAACACTAAGCAACATAATTCATAAACTAAAAGGGAATATTATACTAGACTAAAAAAAAACTATCTTACTCGAAGGTATGCAATTAGCGTTTCTTTATCCTCAGGGCTAATAAAACTCCACTTAGGCACATTTTGTGGGGCAAATTGCCTAGTGACGATCCCCAACTCGGTGGTGAATTTATCAGACCACGATCCCAATGGATTCCCAGTAATCCTACAAATTTCAACATCCAATCGCTTCCCTTGACTTTTTATCTTGAGTAATGCGAGGCTTTGTGGCAACACGTACCATCGAACTTTTTTCAAATCCGCTAAATTCAACACATCATTAATTACAGCTCCTAATCCACGAACTTTTTTCCTAAATACAAACAAGTTCCCATCTTGTGCTGCCTCAATAGGCCCATCATAGTTTCGTTCAGGTCTATTAAATCTTGTCTCACCATCATGGAAGTACATAGAGCAAAAAGTGAGAGCCTCATTGTCAATGTAACCTTCAGCAATAGATCCTTCTGGATGAGCTTTGTTGCGCACATAACCCTTAAGAATATGCATGTACCTTTCAAATCCATACATCCACCGGTATTGCACCGGTCCTGCAAGGATTGCTTCACGCGATAAGTGAATGGATAAATGAATCATAATATCAAAAAAAGATGGTGGAAATATCTTCTCGAGCTTGCACAAAATTAAAACAATATCTTTCTCAAGTTGTTCTAAGACATCAACTCTCAATGTCTTTGACGATAACTCCTTAAAGAACAAGCTAAACTCAATTAATGCCTTGCTCACATCCTTTTTCAAACATCCACGTAGAGCAATAGGAAGCAATCTTTGCAAGATAACATGGCAATCATGGCTTTTCAACCCCGTAATTCGACAGTCACTAGTGTTCACACAATGTGATATGTTTGATGCATAGCCATCTGGCAATTTAATTGAACTCAAGAATTCACAAAAGTTCCTCTTTTCAGTTGGAGACAACATGAAGCAAGCAGGAGGTAGGAATGTTTGGCCATGTACTTCCCTTGGATGTAATTCAGGCCTTATACCCATATCCATTAGATCAAGACGAGCCTTGTATGTGTCCTTGGTTTTTCCATCAATGTTCATCAATGTTCCTAGAACACTATCACATACATTTTTTTCAATGTGCATAACATCAAGGTTGTGACGAACTTTGAGGGTTTTCCAATAAGGTAAATCAAAGAAAATGCTCCTCCTTGTCCAATTTAAATATTGAGGAGAACGTTTTCGCTTCTTCCCACGGTGATCTATTTTCCCAAATAATGATGGGTCTATATGCCCCAATTGACCCAAGACCTCCTCTCCTGACAACAACTTAGGTTCTAACCTAAGCTCTGGCTCACCATTGAATGACTTGCTTGTTCGCAAAAAATGATCATGAGGCAAAAAACGACGATGTCCCATGTAACAAGTTTTTCTACAATGATGCAAGTATTGGTGAGATGCATTCTCATTGCATGACGGACAATCCAATTTGCCTTTGGTGCTCCAACCGGATAAATTACCATACGCAGGAAAGTCATTGATAGTCCATAATAATGCCGCACGCAATTGAAAATTAGAGCCACTTGATGCATCGTAGGTCTCTACCCCTACCTCCCATAACTCATTTAGCTCATCTATTAGCAGTCGTAAAAACACATCAATGTCAAATCCAAGAGCTCTACGCCCAGGAATAAGCAAAGGCATCATAAAAAATGGATCTTTCATGCATTTCCAGGGTGGCAAATTGTACGGGACAATAAAAACTGGCCATATGCTATATGAGATACTCATATTCCCAAATGGATTGAAGCCGTCACTTGCTAATCCGAGCCTAACATTTCGAGGATCTTTGGCGAATGACTCATGCTTTTTGTCAAAGTCTTTCCATGCTTCAGAGTCCGCCAGATGGCGCATTACATTTTTCTCCTCTACACGTTTATGTTTGTGCCACCTCATATCAGTAGCGGTCTTCCTTGATATAAATAACCTTTGTAGCCTTGGTTTTAAAGGAAAGTACCGCAAAACCTTGTGAGGGATCTTTTTACCTTTACCTTCACCTTTATGAAATTTGTATCTAGGCTCCTTGCAAGTAGGGCATTTATCTTCATTTTCATACTCCTTCCAAAAAAGTACACAATCGTTCTTGCATGCATGTATTTTTTGATAATCAAGGCCCAAATCTCGAAGTATTTGTTTAACTTCATTGTATGAGCATGGGAGTGTTTCACCGATGGGAAGTGCATCCTTCAACAGTTCTAGTATCATCGCGAGTGATTTGTTGCTCCATTTATTGAGCACCTTTATATGTAGCAGCTTAACAATGAATGATAATTTGGAATATCGCTGGCAATTCGGATACAATTCTTGTTCTGCATCCCTCATTAATCTTGCAAATGTATTTCCTTCACTACTATGAGCACCAAACAAGTCAGGATTACGACTACTAGACGCTTCCCCAGTATAAGCAAATGTGGATGGTCCACTATGTATGTCATGGATAATTTCTCGCACCTCAGTATTAGGAGAATTTGATTTCTCTGTCACATCATTGAAATATTCGTCATTTTCATTTTCCGAGGGATTACTGTCATTTAACTCAAAGTCTTCCCCATGATACACCCACCTAGTGTAAGTTGTGACAACCCTATATGCAAACAAATGAATTTCAACTTCATCTATGGTTTTTTGGATACGGTTGTTGCATCTATTACACGGACACCAAATCTTACTCGTCCCTAATTTCATATGATCACGAGCAAACATGATAAATTCTTTTACCCCATCAATGTATTGATGTAACCTTCTATTATGAAGTTGCATCCAACTCCTATCCATCCCGAAATCCCTATTACAGAGTACACAAAGACATTATCCTTCAATTCCAATATCTTGTTACTTTCTATATGTGGTCTTAAATGAGGAACACAACTAAATTCTTGAAGAAGTTTCACTAATATGTATATCTACTTTTGACTATGTGATTCATATCTATGTTTTGACAAACAAAAATTCAGGGATGTATTGCCAAGGCACACCACATAAAACAAAAGCAAAAACAAAAGCAAAAGCAAAACATCAGGACACATAATAACATTGATAACAATCATATCCTCACTTTAAAAAAGTAAATAAATAAATAATCGCAATGTTAAGTTAAATAAGGTCATAAATCAAATAAGGTCAAACCCTATAAAGAGAAGAAAGGTTTGGCAATGCTAAGTTCAAGTGTAATGGCTATAGCATACCAAATGGCTTTCTATAGGAGGCTGGTGATTACGGCAGTAAAATCCAACAAGTAAAGAAAGAAAAACAAAACATAAATTGCAAACATGCATACATACACTAGAAACAAATAGAGAAAGAAAAACATAACATAGATAGATAGATAGATAGATCACGTTCGGAGCTATCAAACTGTGTTTTTTCGTACATACATTGGTGAAGTTCCTGTAAACACATGCATATTTAGATTTGTGATTTTCATATGTCCATTGGTGAAGTTGAAAGTAAAAGTGATTTTTCTACTGTCTACATGGTGGATTATTTGTTTAGTCTAAAATGGATATGAGTAAACTCATGGTTCATAATTCAATGAACTCTGAAATGCATCAATGGTACCTGTGCCCTTTTCTTCTTTATTTTTTTGTTATGCAAAAAGCAAAGCTGGTCAAAATATATGAAAATTCTGGAAAATCATATACATACTGTTTGGAACTTAGAACTGGGTATATGGGAAAAGAAAGTGAGTAAGGAATGAAAATCCTTTACCTTATTTGTTTTCCTTCCTGCTTCAATTTACGTTGTATTGAATTTTTTATTTATTTTTTATTTTTAAGAAATGATGTGAAATCATGAAAACAAGTCCATTAAAAGATTTTTGGAAACAACATTTCTCACATGCTTTGTCATAAATTCTTTACATTATTATTTTTCATGATCACCACTGTATTACTGTATAATGAAGACAGCTAAATAGTCGTAAAGAAAAATTATAAAGCGAATATTTTAATAAAGTACTAGTAGTGCGTGTGCACCCGTGTACTGTTAAAACTGCAAGAAGTTATAACTTTTAATCTACACCAACTCAATTCTAGGTTTTATGTATATTTGAAATTTGTAGGTCAAATTTGTTCTAAATGTGTGCCACATCTAAGATGAATATGATCCACACATCTTAAATTCCATTTTTTTTTTTTAAATAAACAATTTATGAGTACAAAACACAATTATTTATGCGACAGATGAAACAAAGTTAATTTGCTTTCCTTTCCCTAGTCTCACTTTTATAGCTTTACACTCATTACTGGCAACCATATATATGCACATATTTTTCAGTTACCACCTCCACACAACAAAGCCTCTCTCTCTCTCTCTCTCTGTGCCTTTAGAGCTACTGATCACCATACTCAAGAAGAATGTCTCAAAGTAGAGACACCAGCATTCCTTTCAACATAACCCTGGAACATGTCCTGCCTCTGCCTCCTCATGCTCATCTTGCTAGAACTTCCGTGAAGACTGCTACTGATAAAGAAGGGAAAAGGAGCACGAAAGAACAAGTGGAAGAAGAAGAAGAAGAGAAAGCAAAACAAGTCTCCGAAGAAGAAAATGTCTCGTCTTCAACTCCATTGTTGGAGGAGACTTTTACTGAAACAGAGGAAACTGCTATTGGAACTTCTATCAAGACTGCTACTGATAAAGAAGGGAAAAAGATCAAGAAAGAACAAGAAGAAGAGAAAGGAAAACAAGTCTCCAAAGAAGAAAATGCTTCTTCTTCAACTCCATTGGAGGAGACTGCTACTGACACAGGGATCTGACAGAGGAAATGTTGATCTTCTACCCTTCAACAAACTGACTACTCACGATGATGATGATGTTATTAAGAGCTATCAAACTACTCCTCACATGCTAATATAAGAGCTATCAAACTACTTCTCACATGCTATTATTAGGACAAAATTCAACACCTATTAGCCGCACATCATGGTGACAATGCAAAAGTTAATTGAAAGAAACATTTCAACAAGCATTAAGATAAGAAACAAGTTCAGTGTCTGTAAAACATAGATTGAAACACAATAAGAAATTGCAAATACAATAAACAGGTCGATTACGGAGATCGGAGACGATAAACAGAGATTTAAACACGATAAGAAATAAAGTAAGACATAGATTGAAACACGATAAGAAATTGAAAATACAATAAACAGTTCAATCTATGTAAAACACAGATCGATTACGATAAGAAATTGAAAGTTTGAATTGGAGCTCTTACAGGTCGATTACGGAGATCGATTACGGAGAGAGAGCAAGAGAGAGAGAGAGAGAGAGAGACACACACACACACACACCAAAATTTGAAGAAGATTGAGCTCCCAATCTACCTTGGAGCTCTCGACTTTAGGGCTGAAGATTGAGCAAACCGACGTGCGAGAGATTGAAGATTGACAATTGAAGATTGAGCTCAATCTTCAATTGTTAATTGAAAAACATTGAACAAACCAACGTGCGAGAGATTGAGGATTGACAATTGAAGATTGAGCTTAATCTTCAATTGTTAATTGAAAAACGACTATTAATATTCAAATGTGGAGCTCAATCTGCCTTGGAGCTCTTACAGGTATGAAGATCGATTACGGAGGGAGAGAGAGAGAGAGAGAGAATGAGCAAGTTAGGGCTGAAGTGAAGAATGAGGTCCCGACTTTTCACTTGTTAAAATGATGAAAATAATTGGTCTCAAATTGTTTTTAATTAATAATGGCGCAAATATTTGGTCCCTAAATGTTAATACTTTTGTACTAGCCAAGGGCTTTATTTGTATTGAGCTTAAGACTCACTTTTGTTGTAACCAAGCATTGATTTGGAAAGATGCAAGCCATTAGGGCATATGAACACCTGTTTAACTTTCATTTCCTATTACCTCTTGTAACACATACTATAGATTCAGGATGAACGATTGATGAATGTATATCGCATGTGTCACATTTTGTATATTAATTCTGATTAATGAAATGGAAGTTTCTTGTTCTGTTTATGTCACATTGTACTAGTGTTTAGAGTTGGTTTATTGTAATTATTTTGGAGGCGTTACATATTCTTAGTTTTAAAACTGGAAAAAAATCGATAATATTATCGCTTTTATTGGATAGTTGAATCAAACCAATAAATAGAAGGGCAAAAAAGTTTAATCTCATGCTTTGTTTTTTTATTCATTAGTGAAATAATTATCTGAAACATTACTATTGATAATATTCTTAATTTTAAAAATTAAAAAAAAAATTGATAATATTCTCAATTTTATTAAATAAAATTTATTGGTTTAAAAAATTTTAAATAGGACATGAGTTAATATAACATTTATAAATGAAACTTTTAGGTAATTTTTTTATTTTTTAGTTTTATTTTATTTTTATTTATTTTTTGTATGTCTACGTTTAGGTAACAGATGGGACTCACGCATTATTATTGTCCTGCATAAAGATTGAGGAACAATGTTTCACTAGTGCTTCTGAGTTTGGTTTGGGAGACACCTCAAGAAATATGCAAGAGTTTTATCAAAGATTTAACATCTCAACTACTTAAATTACATCAAAGTGAGAAATTTTAACATTGGGATTGGTGCTCAGATTTTATGATGCAAAGATCTTAACTTGCGGTAGTTCACCGTTTTATTTTATTTTATTTTATTTTGTGCGTGTGTGTGTGTTTTTTTAGTGAATACATGCTGGTGGTGAAAGCACATCCTGTGTGCCCATTTGGGAACTAGTTTAAAAGCTGTGTTTTGCATTTTGGAGGTAAGACGTTAGATTGACTTTTTTAGCATGAAGTCATTTGAAAAGAATAAAAAAGTTACATAAGGAATTATAATTATACCTTTCAGGTTGTTTAGGGTTATATAGTTTAGGGTTCTACATGAGTAAAAATATAAATTTATTGAATTGGATGAAAGTATTTTAGTCATTTGATTGTGATGTGACATCATAAACAAATATTAATTAAAAAAATCAAAAACTGTTTTTTATCAACTTCCAAATCACTTCCTATAAAAGTCAAAAAAACTTAGCTAAAAGTTAAAATTTGATTTTTAACTATTTTTCCAAAACACACCGTGTGTTCCATTTTTTATTTGAAGTTTTTTTTGAGAGTAGTTGGGGATCAACTATCAGTGCTTTTCTGATCTGAAGGTAATTCCAAGCCTCTTATTTTTATTTTATTTTTTAATGGGTGGAGGGTAGATATAAAATGTTTAGCAGATTATTAAAAGTTAGATCACTTCTAATGAACATTCAACACTTCTCCATAAATTTGAACTATGAACTCCTCCTACTTGAAAACTAAAGGGTACAACATAAGCTAATCTTTAAGTTCAATGTCTCATATTAACCAGCTTAGATAGTATTAATTTACTCAATGATTGAGCATGAATGAAATGGTTATTCTTTGATGTAGGGTGATTTAAAATTTTTGTATGATTATTCTGTTTGAAATTTTTATTAATATTATTATTATTTTTGAACAAAATTTATTTTATCTCTTTATGATTTGATCATATTATACATTACACTTGTGACATTTAAAAATATTTAATTTATGTAATTTTGGACAAAAAATAAATAATAAATAACTTTTATGCCCCCCGCACATCATCATCTCTCTCCTTCCTGTGCCAACAACCACCATATTCAACCTACTACCACTACCAGATTCAAATTTTAGTAGCATTATTTTTGTTTAATATATAAACATATAAATACGATAAGCTAATTTTGTTTATCAATATAAATATATACAAAGAGTAAAACCAAACATCATTATTGTGGGAAATTCTTTGATACATA